TATATATATATACATATATATATATATATATATATGTAAATAAGGTTCAAAATTTTTTTAAGCTGAATGGGATATCCTATGCAATGTAAGCGTATGCAAGTAACGACTGCATTTAACCAATATTATTTATCTTATAAGGAAAAATAACGTGAATCGATTTTTATTTACAATTTAGGTTACAATATTTGACTTGCAAAAATTTATTACCGTAGAAGATTTTCAGAGAATTCAAAGTTATTTTACCAACGTTTTCTTTTGAATGCCCAATTCTTTTTTTTTTTTAAATTATATTATGAAATCATTGATTTTGAAACTAAAATGTTTTTCTTAAAAATTTACGTTCTTTGAAAAAAATTAGCTCTAATCATTTTTTTTCAAAAGCCATTTTAGAAATTAAAATACTTCATAATAAAAATCTCATCCCACGTCTTTTTAAAGCAAAACATAAATTTATGCTTGTAATTTAGATATTCGTTTTACTAAAAAATACCTTAAAATATTCATGAGGTTATGAAAAATTGCTTGTTAATGAATGATTTTATCTTAACGTAGAAAATACAATTTCCTTTCAGAAATTCGAGATTAATGAATTTTTTCAGACTTCAAAGATTGATTTTTTGAAGGACTTGACCAAGCTTAAAAATGGTTAAAAAAATTTCACATTATAGTTCTTGAGATTGATGATCTGATATCAATGAAGTAAAAATATTCAAGATCCGTTAAAAAATCACATGCAACAGAAGAAAAAAAATTCCCTAGTTTAATGTATTGATCAAAAATGAGGGCAGCAATCATGACTTGTAGAGAAAAATTTATGTCAACAATATTTGTTCCGACATCACAGTACCGGTGCTAGAATGCGAACAAAATTTCTAATCTTAGTTGTTGCTGGTTTTGAAGTTTAATTTTAAATAATAGCAATAAAATTAATAATAATAATAGGATTCATAATAGCAAAAAAATAAAAGTATTTATAATAATAATAATAAAGGTATTGCTCATAATTATAAAAAAATAATGTTTTTAAGACGATTTTTTTTCTCTAAAAGTTTTTTTAAAAAAATTACACGTTGACAAATGTTAGAGATATTTGAAATCTTTTTGTCTATATTCAATAAAAAAGACGGTTTACTATTAACCGATTTTAAGACGATAAGTTAGGCATCCCAAAGCTACCTCAACAAGGTGATGACTTTGTGACCGAGAAACATTTTGTTTTTTTCAATATTTCCCTTACTATTTAGAACAAATTTTTACTTACCACATTAAAAAAAGAGTTGTGAAGATATAGATTGAAAAATATTCCGAACTAACATTGCAATTTAAACCAGATATGCAAAAAAAAAAAAAAATTCATAAATGAAAAATAATAAAAAAAGAAGTGTTCTATAGTAACCTAAGATGGTCTTAGTGATTTGAGCTCCAATCTGTTATTGCGCAGAATCAGTGTTACACCCCCTGTGGCGGTTAGACGCCTATGCAACTTCAGGTGTATGAGTCCCAGTTAGTCTGAAAAGTAAAAGTGGCCGGTGTACAGAGCTGACCACATTCGCCTTGGCCATTAGCTGGCTGTTGCGAGAATGATATATTTCATTTAAAAATATTAGAGCACTTAAGAATGTTACCATTAAAGTGCGACGAAAACTATCTCGTTTCTCTCGTGTTGTGGCGAAAATACGCGGTGATATACTTTTTTTTCATGCCTGCTTTCATGCTATTTTTTTCTATTTTACTCAAAAAAATAATTAATAAAAAGTACTTTTTAAGTAATAATTGCTTTTTATATAATAATGGTGAGAGTTAATTATAACCATTTCTATTACTTTCTTAAAAATTAATAACAACGTATTTACTTTCAACTTATATAAAAGCATATGCGCAAGAAAATTCTTCCGTACTCAGACGGTTAAGAACATATATACAATTAGTATATTTACCGTTGCATGTAGGACTTTTTTGATTGCACTGTTGGTTTCTTATTCGTAAAATATTTCGGATCAAATTATGGGATAAAGTATTGGCATTTTGGGTGCATCATCATTAAAATCCTTCTCACCATGAAATCCATTTTTATTGTAAATATATTGTATCGTAGTTTTTAAAATAATATTTATTTAATTAGAGATATTCAGTGATTTTACGGTAATAATTACTATAAAAATTACGATCGAACATGTTCCGGTAAAAATGGATTTTACAGTACGAAGTATCGACATCCTGAGTGCCTGCATTTCCAACTGTAATTTGATCCGGAAATTTTTAAAAGGCAGGTTACTCTGGCTTTAAGAAGAAAAAAAAAATTTTTTTTTTGTGCTTTTCATTGCGTTTTTTTAAAAAAAATTTCTAAATGTAACCTAATGAAAACTACGTCAAAGATACTAAATTTGTCAAGTTATTAAGTGAATTGGATAGAAATTGAAGGAGGCTATCGAATCCGCCGTAATTAGATTTTATCTGAGAGACCGCAAAAGACATAAAATGTCTTAAGATTGGTTTAAAATTATATATTTCAATTGTTGGAAACTTAGTTAAATGTCAAGTTAAATGTATTCATGTTTATTCACTATATGAACTTAATTATTTTTAATAAAAAAAGTTTAAAAAAGGAAAAATTTAAAAAAAATCCCTGTTAAAATCTATCCGTAATTTCTTTTACTGGATTTACTCGTTTTTCTAAAATTTTCTGATTAAAATAGTTATTTTATTTTTATAAATTTTAAAAAAAAATTTCAGATTATTATATTGTTTGTCGACATATTCATAGTATTATTTTCAAAAAATTATTTTTTTTATGCGAGAAGTTACGCTGAATCGTTTCATTAGACTACTGCTGCTATTTTTTCTGATGAGCAAATAAAATTTTTTGCTGGAAAAATTTATGAATTCATAGAATTTTAATTAATAAATACAAGGAAATTAGTTAAATGGACTTATTTGATCAATTAAATTTCTACTAAAAGACTTTTATGGCACTGGCGAAATGGAAAGATTTTATGTATTTCCTGAAATTTTATTTAATGAATTCAAGAAAATTAGTTGAATGGACGATTATCTAACTTTTTAACTCAAACATAAGGGCATTGA